CTCTCTCTCTCGCTCTCTCTCTCTCTCTCTCTCTCTCGCTCTCGCTCTCGCTCTCTCTCTCTCTCTCTCTCTCCCTGGGGTAAGTTTACGAGTTATTTGCCGTAATTTAAAAGCCTTTTGCGTGAACCTGTCGCGTTGTGCTGTTGTCACTGTGGCGTGTGTGTGCATATCCCCGTGTTGTGCTGGCTGATGTGCCACCCCCGACCGAGTGTACGGCATAATGCTTGCGTGACCATGAGTATACATTTATTTGCACGCATTCGTTGTGTAATTAACATAAGAATACATGTGTTTAAGGTTATGAACATTTGCATGTTCATGGTTGCCTGTATTAGCATTTATGCATACTCGTGGAGTGCCGTGTGTTCGCAAGCTGCCTCACTAATTCCATGCGTTCAAACCAATCCTTATAGAATCCTTATATTAATCCCTTAGTAATATATTTTCTATTTCTACATTTCTATGGAATTATATTACTCTGCACCCGTCACCCTACACACCACTGTCACTCTTTCGTTGTCATTTCCAACTGTAATTTCCACCCTGGCACTCTCCCAATGTCATTCTCCCACTATCACTCTCCTATACTGTCGCTCTCCTCGTCATTCTCCCACTATCACTCTCCTATACTGTCACTCTCCTCGATTGTGACAATGTTGTAGATGTACAATGCGTGTAGTTTTACGACAAAGTATACCGTGTGTAATCCTACATCTAACTACGGGGAGATTATCCATCCATTATAAGACTGTCTATGATCAAGAGTAGATAATAACAAGATGATAACAAGATTGTTATTATCTACTCTTGCTATATTATGTTACTTTTGCACTGGTTATTTTCGTTTTTACTTCTATACGCGTAAATCTCGTGTCTATTATGTCACTTATGCTCGCAGCATGTTCCTGTTTTATCGTGTTGCTCCCATACACATTTTTTACGACCATTCGTTGATGTTTCTGCCCCCCACGGCTGTGTTACAGAGGCGGACGTGCAGCCAGCTCAGGTGTTTCTCAGCTACTCCTGGGACGTGCAGGACCAGGTGAAGGTGCTGCGCACGCGTCTGGAGCAGGCTGGTTTCACCTGCTGGATGGACCTCGGTCAGATGGGAGGTGGAGACTACTTGTACAGCAAGATAGAGTTGGCTATCCGCGATGCAAAAGTACATAAGAGATTAAAACCTATTCAATCAAATCTGTATCTAATTAAAGGTCATGCAGGAAAATCGTCAAAAAAATTTCCATTCTATGGAGGTGACCACTAACACAGGTTTTACTGTATTTTTTTAATAACTGATGCCCATTATCACTTAAGTTACATGTTACATTCAATTATGTGCACAGAGCATATATTCGTAGAACATAAATATAGGATTATGTGAGAAAAAAAACAATTTTATGTTTGTGCTACTGGTTTGTAACTAGTGCATGAATGAACTCTCACCAACTCAAATGTTATTTTCAAACATGTAATGAAAGAATGCAATTATATAATTTAATAAATAGGAGCGACTATTCAATAATAATACTAGTAATGGGAAGGAATCCATTAACGATAATAACTTTTATATAGAATTTAAATAAAGACCATTACCGTATTTTGTTACTTGCACACTGCACAGTCCCATCCACTTGGTGGGTTCTTCTTTACGGATCACTTTCCTCCGGGCGTAGATGGAGGGTCACGTGATGTGGCTGCCCTTGTGTTAGGATTAGGATCAGGGTTAGGGTTAGGATTAGGATTAGGGTTAGGGTTAGGGAAATAAGGCCATTTCTAGCACGGAAGTATGAGTGGAATATTTCTGTGGAAGATGTGGACTTTGAAGCGTACAAAGTGACTAGTGCTGCCACGTGACGGCACCCTCCATCTACGCCCGGGGGAAAGGGACACCCCTTCTTTACATCGTCTGTGATAATCACGGGTGTATAATGACAAATTAAACTTAAATTATTAAAAATTAAAATTGCTTAAAAAAATTAAAATTAAAATTAAATTATATCTCATTACTCACCCGTGGTATAGTGCATGAACTGCACATAATGATTTCGCTGTGTCGCATTCGTTACAGATGGTAGTGTGTTGTATCACTCCTAAGTATGTGAGCTCATACATGTGCATCAAGGAAGCGAACCTTGCTGACGTGCTTCGTAAGCCCACGATCCCGGTCATGTTCAAGAAAACACAGTGGCCGCCTCCTAACGGTCTAGCACTTGTCTTTCCCCATCTCCTATACATAGACCTATTCGGTAAGCCACCTTTACGCTCGTAATATATTACTAGTAAGGTATTGTACACTAATGCCTGTCGAATCACAGTTTTTTTGGTGGGGGGACCCAACCCCAGAAAAGGTGACTGATTACTTGTAGCCATGCCACACAGGCTTATGCCCTTTGTGGTATAAGTGGGTATGAAAGCAGGATGATGTGGAATAGACAGAATAATTGTTTGTAAGATGACAAAAGTCGAATTAGTTTAGTGCAGAGAGATTCTGCCACTAGTGTGTATGAATATGGTTCATAGTGAAGTTCATCATTCTTTTGAAGTTCATCATTTATTCTTTGAAGTATTGTAAAGTAAAGCCTAATTTGAATTTCGCTAGGTCTTGGTGGCCACGGTGGAAGCGGCATTCATGCTGACTTTGAGGCTCGAATGGCCGAGGTCATTTACCAGGTGGCTCAGTACTCACAACCAGCGTTGCCAAGGAAACACCTAGCAGGCTATAAACCTGTGCATTTCGAGCTACAGGAGAAGATGAATGTATTCAACGTGGAGGCTGCCACGTTTGTACGAGATTCAGGTGTGCAAAATACAAGCTATGATATCAAATTATATCTGTGTACACAGTGCTTGTGGGCATTAGCAGTGCTTGATTGCATGTGTCTGATGCGCTTTTGAAAATGTGTTTTATTTGTTTTCAGTGACCACAGCTTCGGTACATGGCGAGGGAGACATTCACGGGACAGGGAGAACGCTAACGCCTGTCACAGTGGGAGCAGGTATACCGGTAGCTAACGTGCAACGATGTACAGTCTGCGCTATCTTGTAGTAAAAGTCAGTGTAAGTAGTGTCTTGTGCGGGGTTGTAGCATACCCCATGAATCTCTCTGTCTCACTCTATATATATATATATATTATACATAGTATCATGAACATTCCTGAACATATCTTTTTAATACTACTGTATTGGTATGTTCATGATAGTTTGCCTATGTTCATACATATATGTAGTAGCTATGTTTGTTCTGCACGCCACTTCACTTCTTGGTGGTGGGGGACAAGATTGAAACCTGAAGTATCAAGTCTTCACTGATGAGGACAGAGTATATATTTACTCGGAGACGATTAGTTAGATGAGAAGAGACTTGATTCAAATAAAGTGCATCTGTTAGAATGCGCGATGATGAAGATCTACACGTTATTGACTGTGATATTGCAGAATCATCGCAGCAACCAAATAATAGGTCCTTCTGTTAATAATAGATTCTGAAGACACTACCCGATATGTATCTAATTTTATATACACTTGCTGTTATCGAGTATATTGTACTAAACCTGGCATGCGCGTGCGTGGTGGTGTCCGTGTAATAACCAGTACCAACTTGTCGTTTTGGGGGAAAATTGGTGGCTCGTGATTGTTGGAATTTTAACACGCATTTGGGAACTCTTGAAAATGGGATTGAAGGGAACCTCACAAAGATCTTTTAATAAACGTTTGCAATCCAATGTATCCCGACCACATATTTTCTACTTTGAAATGTTATTTCATATAAACGTGTACAATATTATTGAAGTTGAATAGTGAAATGGTGGAATGAGGGGGTCTCCCATTACAGACTACCGATAACAGATTTGTTGAATCTACCTATCAGTAAGAGGGAATATTCAAACTTGGATTTTAAATATCATGTATTGACATGTTTTGGGGGAAAATTTCCTGTAACGTTAATGACAATGGCTGAATTGAAATATCACCGTAGTGAGGTCCAGAGTGTGGTTAATCATATACACGAAATGGTGCGCTGCAATCTCTACTGAGTATTGTGTAAATGCTTTTGCTGCATTAAAGAAGTACCACGTATGTGTAACTCAAATGTAACAACATGGTAGTTTATATCAACAATAGCTTGCTTTTCTATAGCTGAATAATTGTCACTAATATGTCCTTATCTTCGGGAGACAGCCAGGCAAGGTTATTTAATCTGCCTTTACCTTACGTGATACCACTTATGTGCAGTTTTGCATGATTTTTAAACATGTCGATACTGGTGACATTCTGTTCAATTTCTGGGTATCAAGATTCTAAAACGGTGATAATAATATGGTTGTGCCATATGAATTGTGTGTTGGGATTTTGCAGCGGTTTTTGCTGACCAACTCGCATCCATCATTTTAAAATAATTTACAACTTCCAAATTTTGTGAAGCACGCCTTAGTAATATTTAGTGATTACCACATGGCCAGTAAATACTTCTATCCCCAACTTCGCCAGGTCCTCTGTAAGCATAGGTATTACTGGTTTTATAAAAAATTGATGCCAGTGTGTGATACTACCAAATCAAAAGTAAGTGTTCTCATATAGCTAGCGAATGAGCAATGTTGTTGTAACATATTGCTGTACCGTACATATGATCTATCTCTGTACGTGTGTGTGTGTGTGTGTGTGTGCGTGCGTGCGTGCGTGAGTGCGTCTGTGTGTGTGTGTGTGTGTGTGTGTGTGCGTGCGTGCGTGCGTGCGTGCGTGCGTGCGTGTGTGTGTGTGTGTGTGTGTGTTAGTGTATGTGTGTGCGCGCGTGTGTGCCTGTGCGTATGCGCGTACGTGCGTGTGTGTGTGTGTGAAACGTACACAACACAATATTGGTTTTATTACATATGCGTTGCTGTTCATCACCGAATACATTTCCTGTGATGTCATTTTGTTGAAATATTTATGGTTTCATAGTTGCGAGAAACCAGTCAAGTATAGTCAATAAACTAGCTATACCCTGACCAATCAATATCCACCTTAGGGGGACGTACCCCACCGACCAGTAAATACAGGGTACTACCAGAATTACAACTTGCCACTTAATTAAGAACACTGGTATCTTGAAGTGATGGAAGTTGGCTTCACTTCCCGCAGAGAGGCTGGGCAAGGCAGGAAATGCTAATGTTTGATGCTGTTGGCTGTTTAGAGCAATGCATCTGCTGCGTAGGCAACGGCTTTTTCAGAGGAAGCTAAAATGGCCAATTTATGGTATTGACCAATGGAATTTTTCAGTGAGCCAGACGTTTCGTAGGTACGCGTACTATGGCTACTGCAAGTTCATAGCTGGACATTTCAGTAAATGTGGTTTCTTGTATCAGTGATCATGATGTGCAGAGCATCGCATTAGCCGTGATGTTGTTTCAAGGTGCATTTTTAATCAAATCTACTTTTATGTGATTTAGTGTTCCGCATAGGTTGTGTGTGTTTTGAACATAAAATGTGCTAATTAGTTGATAATGAAAAATGACCATGATTAAGGAAAAAATTGATGCGTTTATTTGTGGTTATTACAGGCATGAGTTCGTTATGTATATGTATTTATTAAATATAAGTGTTCTGCATGGTGTTTTTCTCGCGGTGCTGCAAACTGAAAGTTCTTTTCTTGGCTACTGCCACAAGAAACTGATTAGGGGGCTAAGCACGATTGTATTGTCTATCGTGTTAATGCGTTTCTACGGGTTGTAGCCCTCCCCCATGCGTCGATTCAGCTGTAGTTTTACATTTGTTGTGATTTCATTTTAGATGCATAAGTAATGCAGAGTAAATGATGTAAAGTTATACACTAAAATTGGTTTTATAGGTTCAAGATTTTATGTTTACGGATGTGTTAAACGTTCGGAAACATTAAATTTCTCACAGAGTAAACTACTTTTAGATATTTGGAGATTTTTGTTGGCTAAAATACTTGTGTTTTGCCAAATGCCTGCAGCAGGGCTTTTCTGTGCCACATTCGAAAATTGACATCATTATAATCGGTTATTATATTGATGTTGTTGTGTGCATGTATGTAGGTGTATATGTACATGTATGTGTGTGTGTGTGTGTGTGTGTGTGTGTGTGTGTGTGTGTGCGTGCGTGCGTGCGTGCGTGCGTGCGTGCGTGCGTGCGTGTGTATGTATGTTTATTTGCTGTTGTGCACGAGGACATTTGTTATGTTGCGCTGACAAGGGTGGAGTTTTATACATATATATTCGTTCAAGGTATTGTCTATACTTCAAAGGGGAAACAGACCATGTGAATGCTATTTGTCGTAAAATTTTAGGCACACGTACGTATATGCACTTATGGTCCGTAGGTCACTGACGAATGAACCGGTTATTTTTGTTTCTTAGAAATTTTTAACCGTCGTGTCACATTGGTAACGTTTGAACTGTCATGTGTGTAGAGATTTTTGGGAGAACATTCACATACGTATGGTATGGACCATGAAATAAACCATGTAAATGTCATCCGCATATTGCAATATAGTTACTAGTAGTGTTATTTTTATACGTCTGTGATATATATATATATAATATATATATATATATATATATAACATAAATATATATATAATATACATATATATATATTTATATAATATCAGGTATAATATATATATATATACATATATATATATTTATATAATCAAGGTAATGACTGCTTATTACTTGGTTAGAAAAATTTGGAAAGAAATATCATGGGATATTATTGTAAAAAAATTCGATGCGCTTAGTGTAATAATATAACTGACGCTTTGTAGTTTGGGCGAAGGCTGACTAATTGCCATAGTCGCGTACATGCCACTCGTCAGTGGCATTTGCTTTCCTAGGGAAACTGACCAAACATTGGGCTACGTCGATGCATTTGCAGCAATAATTACAGTAATTCCACGGGTATTTTTTTTTTATAAATCATGGTGTTTGTAAGTATGTATTAATTTGAATTTGTAACCGAGAAAAACGCCTACCAAAAATCACACGTGTACCTAATAATTGGCCTAATAGTATTTGTGGTTCAAATCAGAAATGTTTTCGTGAATCGTCAATGTGTGTTGTTGTTGTTTTATCGGCGTTCAGACCAATAAATGTTGTAATCGGCGTGGCGTGACATAATTGTATAAATTAACTGCCGCGTCACACCAGAAACTATATGATACATGTACGAGTTCGGCGAGGTGTTCTAAGGCAATTAAGCACTGGCTGATATAAGTGGGGAAATTAGTGGCGACGTATCTATATCTGTTATTATGGCTGTCTGCGTGAATAAAGTTACCTTTATAAAGTTAACGGAACTGTTTGATGTAGTTATATTTTCGTAGCAAACGATACACAGTTGCAAACAGATGGCGTTTTTTATTTTAAGAACGATCGTCTGCCTATTGGCCGCATATGAAGCATGTCATATTGATTCTGTTCCCGTACCCATTATTTTACCACCTGGATATTACCAAATAAAACATAATCTTCACTAATATAACATAATATATTGGTTAGCTCTACCGCTTGTAGGCCACTTTGCTCGATCTATGCCATTGGTTTTTGGCATGGTTCATATACAGGAGGAACTGAAAAAGGACTTTTCAAGGACATTTTATCAGAGAAATGCAAGGCATTTTACGGAACATTTTATCGGAATTGCATACACAACAAAACATACCTGGATTAATTTAATAACCCCATTCTTAATGCACTGTCACCTCTTTTAAAAAAAAACTTACGCTATGAATCACATTAAATAAACCCCTTCTAAACACCTGTCACCCTTCTACAACATAGCCCTTAGGACCGTGATGCGGCCATGATGGCCGAGCTTGCCGAGGATTGAACACTGTGTCTTTTCAATCACAGCCTACGCCCACCAGCTGTTTGATATTTTTATAGTGGGGACTCTAACAGCATGGAATGCGCCGTCTGCAGGAACTAGGGCATTCTGCATAGGCTAGAACGGTTTCCTACGATAAGAGTGTTGCAGCAAAAACGAAAATAAACGCCTTTTAGCGCAGCTGCGCTAACGTCCTTCTTGTTGAATTTTTCATCATTCTCCGGTAATCGGAATAAGCCCCGCGCTTCTTGCGTTGATGGCCATGAATGGGCCGTGACCGACGTTTACCGGTTCCCTGTACTACCGTTTTTCGCCGGCCTATTTACTTTTCGGTAAATAATGAAATCCCGCCGATGCATTTCGGCATCGAAGAGGAAAATTTTCCCACATTTTCACGGTCGCTGTCAATTTTCAAATAAAATAATGCGTGTTTTAATGTAATTTACCACGATTACGTATAGAAACTATATTGTTATTTTTACTCTGATTTCTGCCGTATCTTTCCTTGGAATTTTCATCGTCTTTGCAATGCCTTTCCGTAGATTTTTCTGCGTTTTTCTGCGTGATTATTATTCGCGGGGCAGGCACATCATTTTGAAATGCCTCCAACATTTTTACTTCTTGCGGCTTAGTTAAGTTACGTCCCATGTTTCACTGTTATTTACGAAGGAAGGTAACATGTGGCATTCGTAATAATTTTCACTTTTGCTTCTATAAGTAATGATTTCCATAATTTGCTCTTCTGCCCATGATAATAATATTATTTCGGGCTGCATCATCGAAACGGCTCATTATTCAACATTTTCAGTTCGGACTCTTATCATATCGTTATAACCTAAATTATTCATTAAATTAAATACCGCCTAGGATGAATATTTGGTGAATTTTGTTATTACTTGGTTGCCTATGCTTGGTTTGGCCTATTGCCTTGGTTTTTGCCTTGGTCTCCTTCCTATCCTTATCTTTGTTTTGTGAATTTTATAACTACATTGTATTTGTTTTGTTGGCATATTAAAATTCTAATCTTTTTGAATTCAGATCTAATATGGAGCATGGAACTGAGCGATTTATTGTTACTCTGTTTTATAATCTCCAATTCCTAGAATATCGTCCATATATAATCATTGTCATCTTCTAAAAACTAACAGACCATGCCGCTGACGCGCTGTGGAGAACGTGCGCGCGGCCTGCGAATTTTGCGGCACGTCTCCACTGCGACAGGCGGCTTCATACTTGAAACATGCCCCGCGTCGCGTAGGCGCATATCCGCGCGGGAACTGCGCGTCTCATTCCCGCGCAGCAGGCGCTTAGGATGCAACAGTCGAAAGCTGTGCCTAGCAAATCTTGTATCATGTCTCTGTGGATTTACTGGACTGATTTTTAGGTACTGACGTTACTGTAATTTCCGATCATCATTTAACTGTCTATCGTGTCTATAGCTTTTTAAAAAGCTGCATTAAATCACAGGACATTTCCATGAAATTCATAGGACTTTTTCAAGCAACAAAAATCCAATATTTAACTAAATTCAAGTACTTTCAAGGACCTCAACTACTCAAATTCAAGGACTTTTCAAGGACTGTGCGAACCATGTTTTGGCTTCATTCGTGAAGCATACATATAGGGCCTCGACAGCTGCATTGTATTGGTTTTTATAACGGACTTCGTCTAGACTCTAGCCTTTCCGCGCGTGAGGTAGTTCTAGCATCTTACCGGCCCCTTACCGCAAAACCCGACTCTACAAAGCCTTTGCCCGCGCAGGTGTTAACCGATGAAAATCGGCATAGACTGTCTTTCGTAGTCGTTTAGTTGTACAGTTATGTTCTAGCGGTTTAATGCAGTTATCA